GTGATTCAAGAAAGACAAATTTGAAAAATGACAAGAATGATGACCAGGATTCAAGCAAGGAAATTAATGTCGAAAATGACAGCAAGACCAAGTTAGCTGAATCTCAGCAAGACCCAATTAAATGATAAATCCATCAAATATCGCTACCCTTCAACCTTGAACGTTTGGAATTTTGTTTTGCAGATTGGAAAGTTTGGCAGGCGTATTATTTTTTCTGCGCAGACTATGTTGACAAGGGGAAAGTTATGGAACTGAGATAGAATGTGTTAACTATTTTGCAAGGATGATTATAAACTATGGTTTTTAGTTCAGATTCCCATAAATAACGCCAATTATAAATGTAATAAAATCTTTGATCTTCCTTCAGTTTCAGTTTCAATTCATCGAGACAGTAACTTGTAAAGTCTCAAAATTAGTTTTTTAATTAGATACTCTTATATTTAAGTCAATAATATTCTGTTTTATTCAAAAAAAATAAAATAAAAATTTTAAATTACATCTAAATATCTGTAACAAAAAACTCTTATGAGATATTTATAGGTATTGAAAAGGTATTCACTGGTTTTCTTAGTGAAATAATTGGAGCATAACGTGGTTGATAGAACAAACCTCTTGAAAATTGAGATCAGTTAGATATAGTTTGACCGTAATTATTGTGTAACTAGAAAAGAGGGACTTCAAACTTTGACCATTGTATCGTTTGACCTCCATTATATTTAGTCTACAATTCTGTTTAGCTATTGGATCGTTTGAACTCAATTATGTTCGGCCTAAAACATGACCAACCTTGGTGACCTATTTTAGAACGTCCGAGATCGATGATATTGGACCTGCACTTATAAGAACTAACTTCTTATGTTCTAAACAATTTTTTGAATTATTTTTTCTATGACAATAATAGACATAAGCCCACAATCACAATGGTAAAAGACAAGCCCAAAATACATTGGATTGGACCTAACCCAAAATTTCCACGCAAGTCTAAACAAGAGAAACGTAATCATGTTGCTTACACACCAAAAACGCCTATACCCATAAGGCCATAACCAGGTTGGAAGAATTCATGTAGCAACTTCTTTCGTTTTGATTTAAACTCCACTTTGTTCCTTGAAATTTTGTACGGAATTTTTTTCTTTTTTCTTTCAACTGAAGAAATTTCCTCTTTGATCCCTTTAGTTTATTATTTTGCCTCTCCATTAAGTAAGCAATGACATAACTCCATTAAGTATTTTATTTGTTTAATTTTTAATATTAAGCGGAATAGAGGTGTAATTTGAAGTGAGTCCAATTTATTTTTCTATCAAAAAATGAAATGTCAAGTATATTAAATAAGACGAATTCTATTATTTTTGTATTAAAATAAAAAAATAATTATTAAAAATTATATCAATACCCTCGTATCATTATAATTAAATTTTACCGAAATTGTCCAAATCACATGTATGATCAAAAAAATATATTTGAATTTAATGATCCAAATTCAAATTCGCTCCCTCCCTTCCCCCCCAAATCCACTTATCAAAGGGATTTGTGGTGACCTTGAGGTAGAAAGAGACAAACAAACTATGGAGAAAATACATCAACGTTTGGTACAAACACTGCACACAATGCAACGCGTTAAAAAGTAAAAATACTTGGTTGTATTTCCTCATTCCCATTTGCTCCTAATCTGGTTAGTATGCTTGAAGTTATAATTCAGCAACAAGCTTCCGTCCATTCTTTTCACCACATATCTCTCTACTAAAACATAACAACCAAATTTTCTCCATTCACCTGTTCCTCCAAACTCCTCCTCTCTTTTCACATTCTCCCATTCTTGTGTATCTGCTGCCTTCACCCATCCGAACCCTTCTTGCTCCCACTTCATTCTCTCTACAATTGCCATATGCAATCCCACGGGAGTTGCTATATCTCCTCCATCGCTGCATCTTCTAAACCACATCACCCCATCAACAACATTTCTCCCATCCAGGATCATTGCCTCTCCATTAATTACAACAGCTTCCTTCTGAACAACGACATCAACAGCCACGATTCTGCCACTACCAAATCCATTTTCGCACGAAAATATCTGTTCCCATTGTTGCTCGAGTATAATCTCATAATACATTGACCTCTGCTTCTGCTCTTTTAACTGACCATCTTTGATGAACATGAAAGGACAATACCATCTTCCGACAACTACTGCCCCCGAGTCCTTCCTTGACAATGGGAAGTTGAAGTCTGGAAGGCAAGCTCGCAAGGAAGCATCAAGTCCTTGTGCTTCACCCAATTCGTAGTTTTTTGAGGTTCTGGTACCAATAGTCCAACCTTTTCTTCTTAGAAAGTTGGGAGGATAGGCATCGGCAACAATGGATTTGGCATAAAACTTATTGCCTTGATATGAACAGATTTCAAATTGCTGGTAGACATCATAGGGGTCCAGAGGTCTTGGTTTTGCGTCTTTAATTCCTCCCGTGCAGCAGCCAGTCGTCTCCTCTTCATCATTACTTGCATACGCTTCCCTAAAGGAAACACACACAATAAATGTCACATAAATTTACATATACTTAACTTACAAGTTTCTTATTTCTTATTTTTTACATCAAAAAGGTTAGTTACAAAAATTTGAATTCTAAATTTAATCTCAAATCAAGATTTCAAAATTAGTAAGTATCAAATTAAATAAGCTTTTGTTAATTAATTTAAAAGTCATTTAGATGTATAATTTATGCTCCAAGAAGTCATTTAATCCCAAATTAATTAGTGGTTTCTTACTTTGATGGAATAGTTAACAAATATTTAAAGTAAGCAATGAAAGGTTTACAGCAATTAATGTATTTTTTTTGGCTATTAAGTTACATAAAAAATAAAATTTGATTTTAATTTTAATAACTAACCAATTAAATTAAAACATATGACATTAATGTTAAAATTAATATTATTTTTTTATTTTTCAATATGAATTAATGGTTAAAAATATATTTAATTAAATCCCTAATTTGTGTGCTAAGGGCACATATTATAAGATTAAAAAAAAAACTCATCAACAAATATGTACTCTAATAACACGAAAGAATGAAAGGTAAAGCTAAAGAAAACAAATAAATAAAGGGGATAGTGAAGAATTAACGGACCCTTTATGCCTTCCATGAGGCTCAATTGCATAGTAGGTATTAGAAGACAAGGGCTGATTGAGAACGGGAACAAGATCAACATCGTCGTCATCGGAGCTGTAGTGAACTGTCAATTCCTTGTTCTGAGGGAAAGGCAACTCGTTGAGAGAATCGTCCTTGCACAAACCAAAACAAAGGGTAGGCTGCTCTGCTTCGGCTTCTTCATCTTGAATTACAAGGAAACCGGAGGTCGGACCTTCCGTAGCTAACGAGCCTGCCGACGGCGACCTGCGAAGCGTTGAAAGACGCCTTGTGACGTACATTTTCTCCTCTCGAATGGTCGTTTAATTAACAGCTGGCCATCTGTCCCCGTATAAAGAAACCCAGGCACAAAGTCAAAGCCAGGATAAGATTTGACCAAAATAATCACACATTCACACTTCCAAGGTAGTTTAAATGGGATTGGCTGGCCCAAAACGACAAGTATTGAAGACGTTTTATGTTTACCTTTCTTCCACTCTTGTGCTTTTGCTGTTACTCCATCAGAAACAAAACAACAAGAAACTACCCCTAATCAATATCAATCGTCGATTGCTCCACATGTGCTACTGCTGTTTCCCATTTGAAACTACCAGAAACTATCCCTATACCTTGTAGTGGTTTATATGGGTGGTAATTAGAGTTTGGGGGCAAGGAAGAGGATTCAGCTTGGACCGCCTCTACAATAAAGAATCCATCTTACAATTTTCAAAATTTCTGCATTTTTCAATCCAGAATGTAATCAAATTGAATTCAAAGATGGGTTTTTGAATTTGATATGTGGGTTTTTAGTTACTTATGACAGGTACTTTCTTTCCTCTTCTTTTCCTCACAGCGCTAGGTACATGATTTCATCTTCTGAGTTAAGGGTTTACCTTCTGAACAAGGATAAAATGTTTATCTAATTATTACTATTTCCAAAGCATTTATACTTAAAAATTAATTTCTTATTATCTTTCCT